ATATATATATATATAAATCCAATTATATTTTTACATATTTGTTGTTTTTCACGTCTACCGCTTTTCTTTTCTTGTTGACTTTTATATGACATGTGATCATCTTATTTTGCATCTTCATCAAACTAATGTTTCCTTTTTGTTTTCCTTCATCATATTCGCCGTTTATTTCTTCAACCTTGCATTCTTGGTAGTCCTCCTCGTTTCCCTTTTCATGATATTCCCTTGACGAATCTTTGTGATATTTTGCACTTCTATCAAGTTTTATGTAGTTGTTCATTATATGCGTATATCTTTGTCGCCAGTCTGTCTTGTCAATCTTATGATAACCGCCATCTGTCGCCTTGCATTTTTCACCTATACAACATTTCTCAATACTCTGCTTCTTGTCCGCTGTACGGTGGTCTCCTGCAACGTTACGCAGGAGCACGCAAGATATTACCATTTCTCATATCTTCACGAAAAATCTTCCTCATTAGGGTTCGCGGTGATAATTTATCTCTATCACATAAAATATTGTTCTCTATTTTCTCTTCTTTCGTACGACTGTCGAATTTACACTTACTAGCTTCACAATGCATATCAATCATGTTCCTTAACAACAACTCACCACTACTATGAACTGCCTCTCAAATAGTGTCTGCAAGGTTCAATACCTTCATAGCGATTTTCGCACCCTTGAAGGGTATTTCAAATACTACCTAACAGTATTGAAGGTCTCTCCCAAAGTTGTTTTTCACATCTTCCTCCGCCATTCCATTTCCTACAGTTCAACCCACCCCCGGTCAATCACTATAATAGAAAAAGTCATTGAGCCTCAATAATTTTTTTATTTTTTTTAATTGTGAATTCGGTCAACCAAACTCATCAGTCTTTCCCCATACGGAATATCCAGGTTCATTCGTATCACATGATCCAAAACACTTACTTTCTTTTTTTCCCCCCCATACTCGATTCTCTCGATGCTTGAGTTTTACATTTCGCTTATTCATTTGCTTGTCTATAACTGAATGTCATTTCCTAACATCTTGTTTTCATTCTCCCACTTCCGAAGTGAAGTAAAATAATTCGCCAAATATTTTGGACCCTCTCAGCAAGATCGCGAACACCTTTAAGAAAGTTTTGAAGATCTTTGTGTGACGACAATGAATCATCTCCTTTTACCATTTCTCCTTCGCTTCATCTATTATCATCATCAATTGTCTACACGGTTGCCCTGTGTACCTAAACGAGTTTCCTGACACTCCTTTGAGTGACATATTTCTTGAAAGGAAAGTTCGTTTTTGAAACCTACTTCCATATGGTCAAACCCATGATAAGCAAAATGACAACGTTAGCAAATGTCGGTCTCGTCACAGCTAAGGGTGATGTGAACATCCCTTGATAGTACCATCGCTGTTGACTACATTCTATTGGTGGGGAGCATCCAACCTCCCATTACATCACATATAACACTATTATATCCAATGACATGAGCAACGTATTCTATCTGTATTGGCTTCCTATCGGGAATGAGTGAGCGAATAACAAATAACTCTTAAACTCCACATGCATGGAAGATGAGACCTAACAAACCAAACATTGATGGGGATGGATTAAACCACCCATCGGACTTACCCTGTTCCTAAATGAATTTGAAGGCAATCACCTTCATAAATTGGCAGAAAAAAAAAGATGGATTTGTAATCAGGTCTGTATTTCAACAGTTCACGCTTTTTCCAGCAGACTGCAGTTATGACAGGGCTCAATGAATGCGGCTATAATCAGCTTCATAAATTGTCAGGAAAAGTCATGCCCTGAGTGTGCCCTGAGCTCCAGCAAAGCTACCATAAGGGGGAGAGGGTAGGGGGGGTAGCTTTTTTGAAGCCCAGGGCCGACTCACACCATAACTTTTCTACCAATTTCTGCAGGAGATTGTCGTTAGGCACAGCACAAAAAACCACAACGAGGCACAGTGCAGAAGAGGCAACGACTGAATAGAGAGAGACAAGTGTTTGCAGAGAGCACACATGCAGAAATTGAGTAGAAACAGAGCTGCAACGAAACACCTAACCATGTACACAGAGCACAAATGTAGCAAAAAAACAGTTTTGCAGACAAACGTATCACAACAATGGCATGATGAAATCACAAAATGCAGAGAGGACACATCTACAACAACGACTACCACAGACGACCACGTAGAACATGTGAACACTACCACCTTAACGAGTCGATAAAATGTTGGCGATGCTCTCCACGTCTATGTGTATAACTTTGAAATGCAAAAGGTCAAATGACTATTGTATTTCAAGTCAATCTTTCATACTATACCGGATAATACAAACAACAACATCCAAACCATACCAGGTACAAAAACAATAACATGTTTGCTCCGTTATGCTATCTTAAATCAATATCCCGGTTATTGTTTGACTGTACATTCATTAGTACATGAGTTACCGACAGTGACGCTGTATTTTTTGCAAAACGAACATCTCCCTTATGCTCACTGTCATGGTTCACGTTGACGACGGGTCCGTTTCGATACATTATTCCAAGTTGTTGGCTTGCTTTGAGTTTCTGACAGTACCATTGTATGAACCACTACAGAATACACGGAAGAGAGGGGAAGGGTGTGGGCAAAACATGACTTCTGCTGTATATGGTTTGCTCTTGTACATTATCCCAAACCGTTGGTTTGGTTTGAGTATGCTCCCGGGGGTTCCGATCGGTCGACGAGGCATGTGACCAACATCTGGTGTTTTCCATTCGGATAAAATGTGGATGAAGCAAGTGTCTTTTTCGTTAAACCACCAACACTTCTTAGTGTCGTGCCCGTTAACAAGCCATGATTTAAAAAAATATACTGGGTACTACAAGAGCACTCAAGTTCAATCAACTACCTTCGTAGCCCGAAAAAAATGTACGTACCTTGTATATGAAAACGTTGTATTCGAATACAATGTACATACGTTATATAACAAGTTTTATGATACAACTTTTCAAAAGTCTCTAGTACACCTATTGTTTTTTGTTTTTTTTTTTCTATCTCGAATTTGGTTGGGAATTTCACCAAGACCCTCGGACAAAAATTGTTTGCATTGAAATTTTGTACAATATACTTTTCAACGTTTTTGATGAAGTGTTTTGAAAATCAACAAATAAAATGTCCTCACTGTAAAAAATATTTTTATCCTCGTTTTTATTTTTTCTCGGATTTGGTTGTGAATTTTGATAAGACCCTTAAATAAAAGTTGTTTATATTGCATTGGTGTAAAACTTGTTTTTTTAAATATTTTAAATATTAAAAAAAATCAAAATGGAAAAGCTTGACTACAATATCCGTACGTTGTATTTTACCGTACGTTCGATTTGGAAACAAAAAAAGTAATTTATAAAAGTTTGATTTTCGAAGGTAAATCGAATAGAACGTACCCACGTTTTTTTTCGGGCCAAGAAGGTAGAAACGTTCCTGCTCTTTGTTTTTCGACGACGAATAGCTGACCAAGTACTGGTGGTGTAACGAACCGGAGTCTGGTTGTGTCCATCTGGGATTGGTATATGTGCCAAATGTGCGCTTTGCGATATGTCCGCCGTCCTGGTTGTGCCTCTGCGCCCAACGTGGTATCAGTGATGGATATTCCAGAAGTCACAACTACCATCGGAATGACATGAAGGTTATATGGCAGTGTATCTTCTCATGTTCTGGCGGACGATTCAATCTTATTCTGCACATTTGATGAGTAGTGGAGCGAGGTCCTTATAGGGGCAAAACGATAATTTTTAAAATATTTTTAATGATAATTTTTTTTTTTTTTTTTTTTTACTAACCACCAGTACCTTCGAGCCTGTTTTTGCCGACCCTGAATTTCACTGCGCTCCGAGTTCGTCGAGTCTGGGTCCCACTTTATTTCTTTGTGGTACTCTCACGGAAAGATTAAAAAAATGATAAAAAAAAAAAATGTTGCAGCCGTGAAACTCACACAAAAAGAAAGGGAAACATTGCTCCGACCGTGATTGCAGTTGTATACATTCTTGGAAGTGGTAGTGTGAGTGTGCTCTCAGTGAGGGCATCTCGGCCTCGTGGCCAGGTTGTCAGATTAAAAAAAAAAAAA